TTTTTTTTAGACCCTTTAGGTGGCATGGGCATCATCTGATCGATGGCACTCCCAAGGACAGTTGGGTCCTCAGGCTCCGTCACAACTTTGTCAAACACGCCACCCCCAGAGATCTTGGTGCCGGCAACGTTTTTTGGTGCCGCCTTGGATTTCAATTAGGTATAGGTGATGCATGGTGATGCATTGCCCCACACTCTAGGCTCGAAATAAAGGCATTTAGTAGCTTGTGCTGCTATCTAATCAGCTTCACTTCAACCCAAGGGTCTTTCTGAAGCCCGGCACTTGAACACCTTGTAGATCTTGTAGTCATCATTGTCTCTGAACTCAGCGCATAAAAGGGGCATCACTGCAGCTGTCAGACAGGCTACAAGTGTTTTCCGGTGTTATTTTTAGGGCCACACTTCTTTGCGAGGATGCTTGGCACCTTCCTGGCTCCCTACGATGTCTTGGATATATTTCCTGGAAGTGCAGCTGGGCTTGACACCAGTGATGAGCTAAATAAAGACCTGAAAAAACTTTCAAGGCAATCCATGAAGAAACACATCGCCCTCCTCCCCAGCTCCGTCTTGCCATATTTTTTCTTCAAGTCAATGAGCATGACCTCCTCGAAAATCTCCTTGGACTTTGACACCTGGGACCTGAGCAAGTCATGTGTGAAGAGCTGCAGACTTAAAAGAACATGTGACATGTAAGTAAATGATTCTGTTTTATGGTGTCCTTGTGTTGCAACTTTTTGGAAAGAATGTCATCCAAGGTACGAATCGATGTATGCTTCCATGTTGACCGATCTCCTGCAGAGCTTGCGCTGTTGTTGGCTATTCTTCAGACCCTTGTCAAAATGCAGGTGAGCTGCAATTCTTCTTGCAGCAAGAATTGTTTCAGCAATTCGATCCTAAGATCAACATCTCAGAATACATGAAGGAGAATTTGCTTTGAGCTAGGCCAAGGGCTTCCTCTCATGAGACCCTGCAGCTTCGTAGTACTTGGTCACTAGTTCCGGTGGCAAACCTCAGGGGATGGGGCCAAAACTTGCAGATAGACATACACATGTTTGTTGGGGAGAGCACTGTCTTGCCGAGTTGTGAAGCAGCGATCCATTGCAGCGTACAAGCATCTTCGTTCCTGCAAGAGAACCCTCACTAACAAACACATTGAAGGGTAGGCTGATATTTTCCTCTGGCCATGTCCTGCACATCGATATCAGACGCGCTTGTACACCCCTTGATGGCTTCCTTCTGTTCCTCCGAAAGATGTTTCACCTTGTTGGTCCACTGTACATACACGGAATCAGCACAGCAGACCTTGCACTGAAAACAGTTTGCGCGACCTAAGGAAACCGCACGTCGAAGCCGACCACTTTCATCACGCTGGGCCAGGCCAGTGACTTTCACTTTGGCAACACCGGGGGCAGCCTAAAAGGCTGCTTCTAGATTCACAACTGACAAATATATACTAGAATCAGAATCCAATATTCAAGCTGAGGGTCATAGGGCACAGTGGCCGATGTATCCGAGCGTCTCCTTGGATTGGCACTAGCTTGTGAGCTTTGAAATACATGGGTCCAGGAACAATCCAAACACAAACTTAATAAGCAAACGAAGAATCAGGGCTGACGGCCTTGCTCCTCAACAAAATGCTAAACAACAAATGATTTTTGGGAAGAAGCACCGCGAGAGATATGGTCCTGATTTTGGCGTTGGCACCGCTGCTTTTGGAAGCTCCTTGCTATAGTCCACACATGGGCTCTTACGGGCTGACCGTATCACACAAGCCATGTCATCAATCCTCAACTGATTGGGGCCCAACTCCTCCAGAGTTGGAAGTACATCCATGTTACACTTCTGGTGTTTCTGTCCCGCTCTCCCCACACCCTTACTTCTTTGCCCCTCCTTTGCCTTCTTTTGCTTCTGCGGTCTCTCAACGGTCTCCATCACCTCTGCCTTCTTTCTCCTCCTCACTTCTGCCGGCTCTTCTTCCTCCGCATCATCATCTTCCTCAGCCTCACTCGCAGCTTTCACCTTGCCCTTCTTCTTCTTCTTCGAATCTGTCACGGGCTGCCTGGCTTCTTCTTCTCTTCAGCTTCACCTCCTTCTGCATCGCATTCTGCATCACCTTCATCATCTTCTTGCCCTCTCTTGGCTTTCTTTGACTTCTGATCTTGGCCAGCTCCTGCGTCCTTTTTTTTGGGCGCCCGTGACGTTGCTTCTTCATCAGCCTCGTGTCCCTCATCTTTTGGTGCCTTCTTTTTCTTCTTCGGTCTCTCTGTTTCCTTCACCTCTTCTGTAGACTCTCCGTCAAGGTTTGCATCAGTCCTGACCTTGACCCACTCCGTGGTACCAGGTTTGTCCCCAAGCGCAAGCTTTTCTTTTCCTCCACCTTTGGAACCTTTGCCAGGTTTTCCTGTTCCTGCTGGCGCCCCTTTGGCAACAAGGTCAAAGATGAAGTCCCCAGTTGTCCTTGTAGCGGTCATCCTTCAACATCTTTCTCAAATGTTTGTCTAACTCTTGGTCGTCCAAGTCCTTGGTCTCCATGTGCAAGACCTGCAAGAAACCATCGTAGCTGTCTAATGTCTTCTGCGTCGGTATCTCTTCAGGTACACGTGGGATTTTTGCAGGCGGGGTCAGGAGGCTAGGTGGTGTTTTGGATCTTGCCCGTAGTAGCTGCGTCTTCTCTGGCATGACCTCTGCCCCACCGTCCTCCTTCTTCCTGCCAAAAAGAGGTGCCGTTTGCAGAAGCGCCTATATATAGCTCTAGAAGTTGAGGGAAACACATAGCAACTGGGATGGTCGTTTGGTTATATCTACAAGCTTGCCTTAAAACTGGCTGATGGCTTGAAAAGTTCTTGGTCGCTCATGAAGGCCTTGCTGCCATTGTAGCCGCGCACAAGGAGCTCTAAAGCCATTCAATCCCACAGTTTTCAAGGCCGATATTTGGGCACCCTCAATTAAAGAACTATCAGTCAGATGTTAATTTCACGGATCTATCGATAGTACGCGCGGCCGGTATATGGCGCCTAGCCGATATCGAGGCCGGCCGGTTATTTTGGCAGCACGCGCCTCCTCCTGTTGTGCCGTTTTTCTCATGTTGAACAATTGCGCCAGATACTTCCAATCCCCTTTGAAGTTGACGACAAAGCCACGGAGTGTACAGACCTGGTCAATCATTCAAAACACCCTGAACTAGATAAGTGGAGCCCGGGTTAATACCCAGCCCAAACATGTTTTTTTTCACCGGTAGGAGCGCCTCCTCTCCAGCACGATCCCTGATGCGCACACCACATGTAGACAGCTGGTTCATCGAATCTGTGATGGACCGGGCTGCAGCCTGTAGTGTCAAGTTGGTCCCCTGCTCATCGTAAATGTACCTTGCCAGCGATGCACGACAATTGGTTGGGATATGGAATCTGACCCCCTTCAAGTTGTCTTTTGGCAATTGACATCGATCGGACCTGGGGGAAATGGCCCACAGTGGAAAATTGCAAACGACAAAGACTACCTTTTGAGGCTGATGGCCAATACACAGGAAACCCCAACGTGATATTTGCACATTCGAGATGCAGGGTCGAAGGAATTGTAGTGATCAAGAAACGTGAGACTCCAGCATTGGTCAAAGCAGGGCTCAAGTCACATTGAAAATGGAATGTCATCCATGATGCATTGAGGGCAGAGCCCTCATCTCCTTACTGTGAATCATGAACCTTAAAGTATATCAAACCTTTTGAATCGGTTTAGGCACGACTCGACCCCAAAACCACAAAGACCAAATCAAATGTTGCGTGTGGTCACCCAGCGTCCATAGAGCGAAATAGGAAAGCTAGAATTGCGGTTCAGTTTTGCAGGATGTTGGGGAAAGTCTCGTAGGAGTTGATCCCAATATCCAGCCAGTTCATCCAAGTTACAAACGAAGTGCAAAAAGCCTTCATCCAGCAACGATTGTACCTTGAGCTTTGGTAGGTTGGCCAGTGACTCATGTTGATGTAAAGAGCTGACATTTTAGAAAGCCAACCAGCAACTAATTCAAAAATGTATATGAATATTTTTCAAAGACACCATCAAATGTGGTTGCAAGAACGGCCAGCTCTGTATCTCCAATATAGGTGACCCATCAAACGTGTGGCCTGCGCACACCGGGATCTCGATGAAGTTGATATCAGCTCGATTGGTAGGGAGCTCGGATCAAGATCACAAAAGTGATCACAAAGGGCAGCTTCCAACTCTATAAGGGGGCAGGTCCACAATCCAACAAAGGACAAAAAATACAAACGGTCAAAAGCATTCCCAAATTGATCTTCATCCGCCAAGAACCTCTAGTTGAAGTTATCAGCCAAGTATCTTGAAGACATCAGACCCAAAAAGCACGCCAATATCACTGGCATGCTTCACAGTGGACCCGCCAGAGGACACAGCAGATGCCAACCTGGTATTTTTCATTGGGTGCAATCAAGTGCAAACTTCTCACTATATATAGGGGTGGATTGGACGATAAGATATGTATCATGTGGAGAATCATCTCAGTCAAAAAGGTGAACTTTATTGCACAGATCTCCAACTATAATTTGCCCCACCGAACGCCGGGCCAAGGCGCAAATGGTCCAGCTGGCGCCGGCGATCTTCGTCCAGGCGGTCAAGCGCACCACCTGCGTTGGGCAGCGAACATGGGCAGTTGGACACCACCAAGTATTCCAAAATGCTGACTGTTGATCCAAAATCCAAAGGACTGATGATATATATATATATATGTAATATATATATATATATATTTATGTATTGACTATTGACTATATCTCTTTATATGTATATAGGGTTTTGAATCAGCAGTCAACATTAATGTTAGAGCTTTGCAAGAAGATGAATTCTTTTTCATGCGCTCGGTCGATCGAAGGTCTCACCAACAAAATTCTGGCATCCATTAATATCCCCCTCCAGCCACACTTTCAATCACCAATATGTGTTTGGCGACAAAACCTTTGAATATATATATATATATATCTATCTAAGTGAGTATTGCACTGTTTTTGCGAAGGACTTCAAGAATGGCCAGCTCTGGGGAATTAAGGTTCTAACGCCATGCTCCAGCTCACTTTGAGCGCTTCTTCATCTCAGATATCACAGCTTTCGCCTGTGCTTTCACAAGCTTCATAGCATCGACCTCACATATATAGGGGCAGTAACGTCAGTTGATGCCTGTTCAAACCGCACATGTGCGCACAAACAATTCATTGATAAGTCACTGTCTCAATGAGCTCATCCTTGAAGTCGGTCAAGTTGGCCATGGATGAAAGGGAAGGCAGCCTGATGCCACAGCTCAATCATAAGTTGAACTGTGAGCAGTTTGACAAAGAACATGTGTATACACACAAAATGTGTTTATCCACATGTTTATGCTGCAGCGAAACTCTTCCAAAGATTCTTCAAACCGCTGTTTGTACTGCTCCAGGGTCTTGCGTAGCGGGAGGTCTTTGGGCAGCTCCGTTAAGGTCGATAGCGTAGCATTCACTTCTTTCTTGAGGGTCGATCCTCAAAATCACATAAATGTTCTTAAGACTCGTATAGTGTTGGCAAGACATCAAAACTTCGGACCACAGAAGGCGCACAAAAACTGTAATATATATATATATATATTATGGCAAGTCACGAAGTTCAGCCTTCAGATCTTCAGGCTTCTTGGGCTGCTCATGTGTCACACCACCTCCAGCTGAAGGCTTTCCTTTAGCTTTCGGTTTGCTTTTGGGAAGCCTTTTAGGCGCAGGCCCCCCACCACCAGATCCACCAGAAGGCCCAGTAGGCGCAGATCCCTCACCTTGTATCATCAACATACCAGGGGAAAGATAAAAAAACACATAAGTTGACGTTATAGTTATAGTGCACAATTTCAGCCACACACAGCAAAAAGTACAGCAAAACTATACAAACAACAAATGTTATATTCAAGAACCAGGGCACCAATGGAAGCAGCAAGCTCTTGAAACTGTTCATCTGTAAGCCCTGCAGCGCCCGTAGCAAGACCGTCCAACGTTGGGGGCGCCGTGATCGCATTGATCGTTTTGGAATCCACCTGAGCCTGCATGCGAACTTGGGCCTCTTGGCGAACTTCAGATGTATCAACCTGCTGCGTGTTCACACGGCACCAGTAGCTAACCAAGGTTGGATCATCTGGCGCATGCTCGTCCTTCTCGCCACCTCCAGCCTTGATGGCCCCCAAAATCTTGTTCCGGGGCCATTTGCGCCTCACCATCTCTTGGACAGAGACCAGCTCCCTTGTCCCCTGCAACTTGCTGCTCTGTGATTTGGTCATCACACAGCTTGCCTCACAGGCCTGCCTGTTCTCGCCCTGTTCCACCCAAATACGAAGGAGCTTTCGACGATCCTAGGATCAT